GCTCCTCCGCTGGCCCCACAACAGGGAGGTTTGGGTTACGGGGGCTCCTCGCTCCCGACTGGGGACCCCAGGGGGCCAGGCACCGCGCAAACCCAGCCCCCACGCCCCTCCCAGAGCCAGGAGGGAACCCAGGAGTCCTGGCTCCCAGTCCCCCGTGCTCTAACCCACCAGCCCCCACTCCCCTCCCAGAGCCAGGAGGGAACCCAGGCGTCCTGGCTGCCAACCCCCCTGCTCTAACCCACCAGCCCCCACTCCCCTCCCAGAGCCAGGAGAGAACCCAGGAGTCCTGGCCACCAGCCCCGCCCACGTAGCCCCCCCAGTGCAGTGGGTCGCTCACCCCAGGGGGCTCCTTGTTCGGGCCGGGAGAGGGGCTCCGGGAAGCCCGAGTCGGCGAAGTCGGCACTGCCCTGGCTGGGGTCCGGGCCCCGCTGGGCCAGCAGGCGCTCTGCATGAGGGAGGGGGCAGTGGTTAGCCCATGCCCCACCCCTTCCTAGCCATGCCCTGCCCTCTTCCATAGCTCCGCCCACTTGTCCACGCCCACCGAGCCTTAGCCCCGCCCATTCGGGGTGCCCTGCCCACATTGTCGTGCCCTCTGCCCACTGCATTCGCACAGGGACTGTCCCCCATTCTCCGCCCCCTTCTCTAGCCCCACCCCCATACCTGTCTCCTGCAGGATGTGCTGCATCTGGGCCTGGGTCTCCTGTAGCTCCCGCAGCACCTCCCGGCTCTGCTGGGCCACGTCACGGTAGGTGAGGACGCAATAGGCCAGGACGGCCAGCCCGGCGCCGGCACACAGCCTGCGGCATAGCCCCACCCAGCTGGCAAGGGCCTCCTGGCAGAGGGGGACCTGTCAGAGCGAGGACCCCCGCTCTCCGCCCAGAGAACCCCGGCCTCCGGGTTCCCAGCCCCAGTGTCTGGGCTCCCCCGCTCTAATCCACCAGAGCCTACTCCCCTCCCAGAGCCAGGGAGAGAACCCAGGAGTCCTGGCTCCCTCCCCACCCCCCGATCCACCCCACCTGACCCCACTCCCCTCCCAGAGCCAGGGAGAGAACCCAGGAGTCCTGGCTCCCAGCCACGCCCACGTCCCACCACCAAAGCTGGGATGGCAGATCCCCAAGAAGCAGGAATCCAATCTCCCCACCCTGGCTAGAGACCCAGTGACTGCTGAGCCCAGCGGTGTGTGGGTGGGGTGTGTCTGAAGGAGGGGTCACCCCAGCAGAGGGTGTCCGGGGGGAAGGGGGCGGTGCTGGCCGGTACCGTTGGGTCTGAGCCGGCCTCAGTGTTCTCCAAGACAAGTCCACTGACCACACGCTCCAGGTAGACGTTGCCCCCAACCAGGCCCAGCAGGATCAACCTCGGGCAGAAGAGAAAGGGGATCACGGGAGGGGACAAGCCCCAGCCCCATTCCCCACCCCCCTGAGCTGCCAGTCCCCGCCCTGGGGCCGGGTGGGAGCCGGCGCCCCCCAGAGGGGACAGGCCCCATATCCCATTCCCCGCCCCTACCTGGCCCCGGCGGTGCGCTGGCTAGAGGTGAGCAGCAGGGCGGTGCTGCCGGTCAGCAGGTGGTAGAGGAAGGAGCCCAGGGCTTGGGACTCCCCCACCAGGAAGTGATGCAGGAAGCTGAGGCGGTTCACGATCTCGGCGAAGGCCAGGCGTTGCCGGCCGGCCGCCTCCTGCATGTCCTGAAAAGCCTCCCGGACACCTGCGGGGAGCCAGGGGCTGTCAGCAGCGGGTGCCTCCCAGAGCCAGCAGAGAACCCAGGAGTCCTGGCTCCCAGCCCCCCCTGCTCTAACCCAC